CAAGGAGAGAAAAAGATATCTCACCCAGCCGACCCACATTGTATTTATATTGTATATACTGAACTACAAAAGCCAATATTGTCCCTCATTAAGTATGGAACACATAACTTAAACTCAGATAAAACTGGCTATCCAATCATAATTAGATAGACAAAGGACCAAAATACTTGTAAAGTCGACTCTAACACTCCCCCTCATGCTCGAGAATATATGTCATATAGTCTCAGCTTGTCACATATGTAACCCACTCTACCTCGAGACAGCCCCTTTGTAAATAGATCTGCCCACTAGTTTCCTAAACTTACATGAGTTGTAATTATCACTCCATCGATCACTTTTTCTCTTACAAAATGGCAATCAACTTCAATATGCTTTGTTCTCTCATGGAAGACTGGATTAGAAGAAATGTGTACAGCAGCTTGATTATCACAGTATAACCTCATGGGTTTATCAATTGAGAACCCCATCTTGCAAGAGATTTTTCAGCCATACTTGTTCACATGTAATATGAGCCATAGCCCTGTACTCAGCTTTTGCGCTGCTCCTTGCTACCACTGTTTGTTTCTTGCTCTTCCAAGTTACTAGATTGCCACCAAGGAAGGTACAATATCTTGTACTTGACCTCCGATCTGACACAAATCCGGCCCAATCAGCAACTGTATACCCTTCTATCTCAAGAGTTCATCCACTCTTGTATAACAGACCACGACCTGGAGCACCCTTTAAATACCTGACAATTCTTAGAACTGCTTCCCAATGTGGAACCCGAGGATGTTATATAAACTAACTCACTATACTTACAGTAAATGATATATATGGTCGTGTTATAGTCCAATAGTTCAATTTTCCCACCAACCTCCTATACCTTCCAGGATCATCAAACTCTTCACCTACATCAATACACAACTTAGTACTCGGTTCCATGGGTGTTTCAACTGGTTTAGCACCTAATAGCCATGTTTCTTCAAGTCAATGACATATTTCCTTTGGCACAAGTTAATTCCATGCCTTGACCTTGCAACTTCTATTCCTATAAAGTATTTCAGCTTACCAAGATCCTTTGTGTGGAAGCGATCCTGTAGAAAGTTTTTCAATCTGTCAATCCCATTGCTATCACTACCAATTATGACAATATCATCCACATACACCACTAGCAAGATTTTCCCATCTTTTGAGTCACGACTGAACACAAAATGGTCTATTTGACACTATTTCATGCCAAAGTTCTTCACTACTTCATTGAATCTACCAAACCACACACGTAGAGATTGTTTTAGCCTATAGATTGCCTTTTTAAGTCTACAAGCTTTACCATACTCCCCTTGAGCAACAAACCCTAGTGGTTGCTCCATATATACTTCCCCAACTGGATCACCATGTAAGAAGGCATTCTTGATGTCTAGCTGAAAGAGAGGCCAATCATACATTGTTGTTAATGAAATTGATACCCAAACTGAACCAATCTTAGCCACAGGAAAGAATGCCTCTGTATAGTCAACACCATATAACTGAGAATAGCCCTTGGCCACTAACCTGGCCTTTAATCATTCCACACTGCCATCTAGGAGATACTTCACTGTGTAGACCCACTTACATCCAACAACATGCTTACCGGGAGGGAGAGTAATAAGTTCCCACGTGTGATTGTGTTGTAAAGCAGACAGTTCCTCTTCCATTACTTCTCGCCACCCTGGAGAAGTAAGGGCTTCCTGGACAATCTTAGGAGTGGAAACAAAGGATAGCAAAGATATAAAATGGCGATGGGAAGTAGAAAGGTGAGCAACAAAAACATAATAAGAGATAGGATGAGATGTACGACTACGTTTACCTTTCCGCAATACAATAGGAAGATCAAGGTCAGAAGGAAGAGGTGTAACTACAGGATCCGTCAACGAGGGCTGAACTGGAGAAGGGGCCAGTGATCTTCTGTGAGTATACACTTGTGTGATTGGTGGCCTCTCAGTATTAACCTGCAATGGAGAAGGTGGGGATGGAACTTGAACAGGAACCACGGGAAGGGGGTCCTCAACTTGAACAAGAACCACAGGAAAGGGGTCATCAACTAGAACTGGAAGTGGAACCATAGGAGCAAGAGGAACATCAGTACTTGAGAAAAAAGGAATGGACTCAAACAAAGTGATATTTGAGCACACAAAAGACCAATGAGAGCTAGGATTATAACACTTATACCCTTTTTTGGTCCTGGAATATCCAATGAAGATGCCTTTAGTGGCACACGCATCTAACTTGTCTAAACCAAGTCCTAAATTTTGAACAAAGCAAACACAACCAAAGACTCTAGGAGTGAGAGGGAACAAAGAAAGAGTAGGGAACAAGACTGAGAAAGGTGATTGACTTCCAAGGATGGACATGGGCATCCGATTGATGAGGAAACATGATGTTAGGACAGCATTACTCAAACGCTTTGGGACATTCATATCAAGCATAATGGACCGAGCAGTTTCAAGTAAGTGTCAATTTTTCCGTTCAGCCACTCCATTCTATTGCGGGGTATAAAAACAAGAAGTTTGATGAATTATCCCCATGGTGCTCCAAGTATTGCTGAAATGGTATTGAGGTGTACTCTTTTGCATTACCTAAGAGAAGAATTTTAACATGAACTCCGATTTAGGTACATATTTCAGCATAAAATTTTTGAAAAATAGAGAACAATTCACTTCAATCTTTCATAAGATAGAGTCATGTCATCCTTGAAAAGTCAACAAAAATTATAAAATACTCATAACCATTGTATGACACCACTTTATTTGGACCCCAAACATCTAAATGAACTAAAGAAAAATGACTCAAGACACGACTATCAACTCTTGGACTAAAAGAGACTCTATGGTGTTTCCCAAGCTGACACAACTCCCAATCCAACGATGAAAGTCAACTTAAGGACAGAACCAACAACTTCAGAGCCTTGAGAGATGGATGACCAAGTTTGCAGTGCCATTGGAGAGGAGTAAGAGATGACTGAAAGGCTACTGATGGGCTACCACCATCAAAGTAATACAATCCACCTGCTTCATGCCCTCCACCAATCTTCATCCCCGTCTTGAGATCCTGAAACACTCAAGAAGAGGGATAAAAGGTTATAAAACAATTGAGTGACTTGGTTAGTCTACTAACAGACATAAGATTAAAAGGAAACTTAGGTACATATAAAACAGAGGATAAGGACAAGGAGGTCAGATCAACATCACCAACACCGTAGATGGGAGAGGTAGAACCATTAGCAAGAGTAACTGTTTGAGAAGTAGAAGGTGAGGAAAATGAAGAAAACATATCTGGAGTCCCAAACATATGATCCGAGGCTCCAGAATCAATGGTCGAGTGTGAGGGTTTGGAAGCCAAGCAAGCCATACCTAAATGGGCATGGGTAGTTGTATTCTGCTGAGAGGATGTCTAAACGAACTTCTCATATACCTCACATGGGACGCTCACCATTTCCTTCCCAGAAGCACCGGTAGATGTGAAGGGGGTCTGATCAGTCTGCTAATTTTCACTAACTGTACCACTACTACTAGTCATAGCATGATTAGCTCAAGTGTTGGGTGGACCATGTAAATCATAACAAAAATTAACAATATGTCCCTCTAATCCACAGTATGTGCATTTTCTAGTTCCATTGCTTCTTCCTCTGCCACAACCTCCCCGTGACTCTCGACCTCCACTACGGCCACTAGTACGATTAAACATAGGACCACCTCACTTTCCTGGAAACCCACGGCCACCACCTCTATTTCCAGACCTCCCCCCTCTAATCACCACAAAACTAGACTTGTCCGAGAGAGAGGAAGACTCTATAGAATCAATAGAAATCCTCCAAAGACGGGCAAACACTTCTTCAAGAGAGGGGAGAGAAAACCCTCTCGGTATTTGTTCTTGAACAGGTTCATATTCAGCCTTTAGACCCACTAGAAACCTTGTCACATCAAATTGCTCTCATTGTTGTTGCTGAACTTAAACATCTGGAGTCAGAGGATGATATACATTAAGCTCATTACGGAGATTTCTCATGCTTGCATAGTATTCTTCCAAGCTTTGGTTACCCTGCTTCAGGTTAAAGTACTCTTGGTAAAGCTAATATACTCTAGTGGTATTATCTTGGCCAGAATAAAGTTTCTTAGCATGGTCCCATATTTCCTTAGTTGTATCCCAGAACATAAAATTCACATTAATTTTAGGTTCCACGCTATTCCACAACCAGGTCATAATCTGTGCATCCTCCTGTTCCTAATCACTAAACCCTAGAGAACCAAAAAAGGATTTCTCCTCTCTCACATGTTTCACCTTTTTCTTGGCTCTTAAAAACACCTCCGCAAATTTAGCCCATGGCACATAGTTCTCACCATTTAATTTAATAGAGGTCATTTGAACATTTATGTAATCAGGAGAAATCATAACACCTGCCTGATTGTCACTATCCTCTCCAGTTGATGTCATCCTAACTGATTCACCTCACCCCACAAAGAAATCACTGTTATAAACAAAGAGTCACCCTCTACCATTCAGCACCACACCACACACTACACAATAAAATATAATTATGACCACACTGCTTCTGTCATGGGTTCAGCACTCGAAAACCCTACTTTCAACTCACATATCCAGGCATAAACAGAAGGAAAAAAGGTTTATATGCATACCTACCAATCCACACTGCCACATAAATGAAATTACTAAAACCAGCACTAGCCTTTCTTTTAAATTGTTTGTACCTTTCTATCCTAATGTGGTAACAAATTGCACTTGTCCTTGCCAATGATGAAAAAAAAATTACTGTAACCAGCACTCATGCATTTTGACAACACTAACATAGACATCCTCCATTCATGGATCAATTATCCATCAAGCAATTCAATGCAAAATAATAGTTAGGTAATTAATAGGACTTTAGAAATATAATAATTAATAAGCCTTGATAGATGCCTAGAGATAATAGAAGGACATATAGAACATGGTTTGGTTGGATAAGAGTGAAAACAACTTACATTAAAATGCTCTACCAGCTCACGAAGCTCATCCTTCCGACTGGCAACCTTTCTTCCTGGAAAGTATTAGTAAAAGTAAATATCCAATTCATACAGTGAAAGATAATAATACATGCATATATTATATAATAGGACTCAGAAAGAGGGGAGAACAAAACTCAAAAAATTGAGAGCATCAAGTGGAAATATTTCATGAAATTTTGGTTTTGGGCACACCATCCAACATGAAATAAAAATATCAAGTCAAAGTACTTCAGATGAAATTTCAAAATTCCATCTAATGTTTTCAAATTATAACCATTTATTTCACCTGAAACTTTGGATATAATATTAAAATAATATAAATACAAAAAGGAAAATGAAAGCATCATTCTTGGTTCAATTTGGCCAACAGGTTGCATACGTGGAAGATCAGAACCATTACCAAAGAGATCAGACCCTAGATATTCCTAATCCCAATTTTCAGGAGAATCTACCCATCCTGATAGCCACAATTTCTGTCCATTAAAGCTTTGTGAAAATAGAGTTACCAGGTTTTAGATTATGTTCCAACCTCCATGGACCCAAATTTTACAAGTAGCATTTTTTTATAGGAAACGGTAACTTTCATTAGATAAAACTATAAGAAACAACTGTCACCTTCCAAAGTAAAAGGTGGCCACTGAATAACAAAAATCTTACAACACTGCACAAAACAAAAACTCCCCATTCACCCCCTGTTTTGCTAGGTAGTCAGCTAAAGCATTTGCTGACCTCCTAGACCAATACACTTTTGCATCCAACTCCCTTGTGAAGCTCAATAATTCCCTCACCTGTTGTCTAAGGGACCACGTTTGCAAGTAGCATATTTAGAGAACAAGCTTCTAAATGAGCAGTTCTGATCTGCCATATGGCTACGAATTTAGGCACATTAGACCATTGGTGACTCACCCACAAGTGACCAAATAACTGCCCATACAAAATGCTAGAAATGTTAATAAAAATAATTAAGATTTATTGCAAAATGTTGTCCAAAACTCTAAAGTTTTGAACACTTTCATGATGGACCAAGGGTCGAAATGAACTAAATTTAAAACCTTGGGCCCCAATAGTAATATCAATCACCTTGGTGGAAAAGATGAGGAAGAAAAAGGAAATATATCAAAAAATATCATCTTGATGCTATAAAAATTGTGGAGGAATCGAACAACAATCTGAAATGCTTGAAATTTCCATGTAATGGTTAAGAAGCATATCCTTTAGCCGACCCCATATAGTTCGGATAAGGCTTAGATGATGATGATGGTTAAGAAGCATATCTTTTCCCTTTTATATATAACATAGAGTTCCAACATCATTACATAAGACATAAAAATGATACCATAGGACAGGGTATCAAATATAGAATCTACACAACTTGAAAGTGTCCAACATAATGCAGAACCCATGTAGAGGCACCAGATATCATGGTGGAATGCAAACACAAAATGGGTCCTCATGTAATACTTAAAGCCAAATTTTCAATCCTATGATGTAACCCAAGTAAGAGTTCAAGAAAGGGGGTCTAACCAGTCAAACAAAAACTAGGCAATGATATTGCAACTCCACTTTTTTCTATTGTAACTCTTTCCTTCTTGACTTACACAGATATTAAAAACTGAAGTGGCAATAGGTTCTCCCAAAAACAATAGAAACCTAACATGTATGAGTGACAAAAGTATGGTAATGGAAAAAAAAAAGAAAATAAAGAAATATGCATACGGCTCTAGTAAAAGCACTGAGGAATGGAAATATCTTAAAAAAGGGTAGCCTAGTGCACAAGGCTCCCACCAATGCGAGGTTTGGAGAGGGACAGATGTAAGCAGCCTTACCCCTGTAGATACACAGAGAGGCTGTCTCCAAGATTTGAACCCTGGTCACCCAGGTCGCAATGGAGAAACCCAACCATTGCACCAAGGCCCAGCCTCAGGAACAGAAATATCTAAAACAATGGTAGAAAAGACATTTACAAAAAACAATGACAAACTAGAAATAAAAACTAAGTTTTACAAGAAATACAATATTAGAAAAAGCAATGATGCCAGATATGCAACCTTGATGATCCTTTAGAATGATGGAGCTAGCTGATTCTGAAATCCTGCGTTCCACAATTATTATATCACCATAAATTTCTGACTTAAAAGCATCTTCCCCTTGATTTTTTATCTCCACTTGAACAACAGAAGAACTGCAAAAAGATAAGATAATAGGTACATATATATGCATAAAATAATTAAAAGAACTAATACAAGTTCATCAAATCCTCAGGCAAAATTGGACTTCCACGACTTAGAAAAATACATTTTTACAGTTTGAAAGAACTTCAATAACAACTAAAAGTTAACCAAATATTATCTACCAAGTGCAAAAGGGAAAATGATAAATTTTCTTTAGCTGTCAAAGAAAATTGGCAACGACCTCGTGCTTTCTAGACACAAGATCCGTGATCTCATCAACACATACAAGGGGAGACTTCTTCCACCCACTGCAAACCAAGTGGAGTATTTTCCTCATCATACAGCTTAAGTTTTCTATTCTAGAAAGGCTACTATCCAATAGCGGGGACCGCTATTCTGGATCTTGGAGGGCTAGACCAGACTCGGAGCTAACCTCCAGATTGCCCTGACTTCTTTCTTAAACAAAACATATTTACCACAGAATCTAGCTTGAAAGACCACGAGTTATTTCAGATTAGAATAAACTTTAATCCCTTATTACCACCATGGTAGTGGTCCAACAGCCTAGTAATTGGAGAAATGAATAGTCTTATCTGACACAAAAGAAAAATTAGAAAACAAATAAACCTGCAACCAGTCTTTATGAAATCCTTCAACGTTGAGGCGCGCTGAGTTCCTTTTGCTCGGCAACCGAAGGCAACGCACAATGCTGTTAATATCGCACTCTTACCACCTGCAGATGAAATTATAGGGCAAAATTTAAAAAAAAAAAAATCCATGAATTCAACCAGTTGCTACATTACACGGGTTGCATTGGTGACTACAGGAGTACATTCAACTTACTTCCATTTTGGCCAGTAATGAAATTAACCCAGTCTCCAAGCTCAATCTGTAAGCTACTGTGGCACATGAAGTTCTCTAAACGTATTTTCGAAATAATCCCTGCACCCGATCGATTTGCGAGGGATTCAGCAAAAACCCTAGAATCTCCCATTGCTCTTTCTCCTTCCAAGGTTTAGGAAGCCTATTAACCAACGGCAACCTAAATGACAGAAGGTAGAATAAAACTAAAAAAAAAGGAAAATGAGAGGAAATGATTGAACCCCATGGAAGAACAGAGGCGTCAATTGCTCGGTCACTCGCCTGGTAGAAAAATGGCGGGAAAACACAGAGGTTGCCAAAAGCGAGAGACAGTATTTATGGTGAATGATCTGGTAGTTGAAATGGGCACTTGTCATCGCTCCCAAATCGGAAGCGCGAGATCGAACCCGAAATCTGCAGGCTCTTTTGGTTTGGCCTCACTCCAAAGTCCGAAGTCCCAACTCTCTACTAACTTCATCTAACACTGCACACCTCATGAAACTGGGATGGGACCCATCATAAAAATGGGACTGAGATCATGTTGCTAGAGGGTTGGAACCTACTTGGTTTGGCCTCACTCTGAAGTCCGAAGTGCCAACTCCCGAGTTGGGATCTCTTCTACCAACAAAACGCGTACCAACTCTCTACTAACTTCATCCAACACCGCACACCCCATGAAACTGGGACCCGCTATGTACAAAATATACGGTGTGAGGTCATATTGCTAGAGGGTTGGAACCGATTTTGTTCGCTGGTGACAAGTCCCACCCCTCCCATCCCGATCCCATTGACAGTACTACCGTCGAGCCCGACTAAACGATTAAACCGAAGGGGAGACGGAAAACACTGGATACTGGGTCAACAGTTCACCGTTGTATCAAATCAAATGGGTCGTTCCGTCTCCGTTTTCTTTTTTTCCTTTTTTTTTAAAGGGCTACACAATGGCGCTTGGCGCTTGGCGCTTGGCGCTTGAAGGGAATAGTTCATCACTAGACCTGTTAACAGGCTGGCCCGCCCGGCCCGGCCCGGCCCGACCGCTGGACGGGCTTGAACAGGTATATGGGCCCATGGGCTTAACCTCGGGCCAAAAAGCCCGATTTGCAATAAATTCGAGCCGGGTTCGGGATTTGCCAAAATAGCCCGGCCCGAGCCCAACCTGGCCCGACCTATAATTAAATCTAAAAACTCTAGTCGAATACCCCTCTTTTTTTCACCTCTTTCTTATTTTTCCAGCCAAACCTTCTTCTCCACATCCTTTTTCCCTTCTTTATATTCTTTTTTTAATGTAAATAAATTTTGAATTTATATTCTTTTTTTAATATAAATAAATTTTAATTTATATTGATTATTGAATAGGGAAAATTTCTAATTTTTTTTATTAGGTCGGGCTTCGGGCTCGGGTTCGGGCTCAGGCGTCGAGCTTTTTATCAGGGCCAGGCTCTGGCTCGGGCTCGGGCCTAACATATTTCCATTAATGAAGAGTAAAAGCCGGACCCGACCCGGCCCGTGAACAGGTCTATTCATCACCAGACTTGTTCATGGGCTGGGCTTTGGGCCCGATTTTACACTGTCTCTGGCTCGAGCTTTAAGTCAGGCTCATTTGAATTTGACAAAAGCCAAGCCCGAGCCCAACCCATGAACAAGTCTATTCATCACCCAACTCTGGCGGATTCCGAATCTACCCCCCTCCCCCGTTAAATTGGAAACATACTATGCAGAGGGTGAATTCCATGTGTGACTGAATTGACCTCAAGCTTCCGCTACAACGAGCAGAGGCGTTACCAAGTGTATCACATAATAATTATTTCTTATGATGGAAACGATTAAATAACTAAAATTAATTAAAATTTAATACCTAACGTGTGGCATGCTGTTAATCGGTTCAAATGATTTAGATGGTGTTGGATCTCATTGTCATTTATCAAAAAACTAGTGAATTAGGTGTTTTTTGTAACGGAGATTAAATATTTGTTTTGTTGAATCGGTTATCAAAAAAACAATTGTCCCGATTATATGAGAGATGTTTAATATTAAAAAAACATCAAAAACGATGTTTCTTACATTTAGGGGTGTCAATTGAACTCCATTAGGTCCAATATGAGTCAATTAAATATGGACTAGGTCCAATTCAGTCCGGTGAATACTTTGCATCATTTTTTGACTGGTACAATTTAATGTTTGGACCATTCAATCTGCTCAAATTGGTTTCAATTTAGATTGGTTATAACCCAAGCCCGGTCCATTGACATCTATATTACTATATTTTATCAATGGACTTGATATTCGTTCAATCCAACCCAATCACATATAAATCTATTACAGATGGACCAGGTCCAATCCAATCCAATAAATACTTTGGACCATTAAGTCAGATTGGTCCAATTTAATGTATTATGGTTCGTTGGACATTTAAAAACAACTTATACATACTCTTTGACCTTCCAAGCATTAACTCCAGCCAATAAAATTTAAAGGACTAAATTGTCCTTAACTAATGATTAAATTTACAAAACATACCATTCTCTTTGATTCCAATCGATTTTCCTATTTTGTCTTCCTTTATTTTTCTTTATTTTTAAATAATAAACAACGTTGGTGGCCCTCTCCCTCATCATCTTGGAGTGCATCATCACAACATCCTTGGTTCTCTTACTAGTTGAATGAAGGAACTTGAACTTGAACCCACCTTTCTTCTTCCTGCTCATAGCTTCCACAATACGTTTTCAGGTAACAAGGGCCATCAATCACCTTGTTTAGTCCCCGATTAGGGGATTTTTGCATAAAGTTCCAAACCCAGATTGAAATATACCTCCCGCGAGATCACATCAGCACCCCACATGGCATGTCCTATAGGCACCCCACATGTACATCTCAGCGTGCATTGAGAACACCTCCTTTACTTGTCATTGGGAGATGTCTCCAATACTTAAATGGGATATGTTGTGGGCACGCCTTGGCATTGATGTGACCTCTTTCTAATGTGGGCAATATTAGTATTATGAAATCATTTGGAATAAGTATTAGCAGATCTAAACAGTGCAATAATAACGGTCCAATTTGTGTTATGTGGGATTAATCAACGAGATATGTATAATTTGTTTTTGAAAGTTTAGGGTATATATAAGTAGTTTCTCAAATGTGCAAGGCATATATAAGTAATTAACCTTTGTCTTATTGGTCTATCCAACCCGTGCAAATTGATATGGATTTGAACAAGGTCCAACCCAAAACCAATCCATTGAAGATACAAGGAAACCAGCAAAAAACAACACACATAGAGAAAATATAACAATCAACAACACAACCTAAAAGCACACTAAAACTAACTACAGTAAACTAAACAAAAAACAAACTAGATGCAAAATACAAACACACACAAAAACTAAGAATCCAAGACCATACCAAAGGCAAGTGATCCTATCAATATCGCTATCAATGTCAGCTTGAAGCCAGGTCGTCGAATTAACAGTCATAGACTTAATTAGAACTATTTTTCCTGCTCTAGAGAGAGTATTGGCCTTCTAGTCACTTAATTTGTCTTTAAGCTTTTGGATAACTAAACCAAGACTACTCTTTTTGCTTAGAATACTAATAACAATGGCCACTAAATATTTGTATATTTCGTAGCATTAGGGATTCCAAGATTTCGAGCAACAAATTTTTGGACTCTATTGGGCAAATTTTTGGAGGAAAAAACTTTTGATTTATTAAAGTTAACCTTATGGCCGGATGCCATCTCATATTGATCAAGGATTGATTTGATCTCAGTGCATCCATTAATACACACCCTACCAAATATCATGTAGTCATTTGTAGATTGTAGAATAGGAATATTCAGGCATCCCGAGGTTAACTTAACCCCTAAATTCGATTATATACTTTGAGAAGCCTTTATGATTTTGCTGCAAGAGATTCTGCACAAATGATAAAGATGTATGGTGAGAGGGGGTCACCTTGCCTTATTCTTCCACTTGTTTTGAATCTTGGGCCAAACAACCCATTAACAATTATTCTAAATGATGGGGTAGCAATGCATTGCATAATCTAGTTAATCCACATGTGGTTAAATCCCAATTTCTGGTGGCATTCTTCAATAAATTTCCACTCCAAACGGTTGTACACTTTTTCAATATATAATTTGCAATTCACCCAAGCTTTTGCTCCTTTTGTTTTCTTTTTCATAGAATTGAAAATTTCATGTGGACAAATGCACTCTAAAAAGGCGAAATGATTTTTCTAATATGGGTCTAAGCCTATTAACTAGAATCCGAGCTATTATTTTATATGTCACATTAGAAAGACTAATTAGTTACAAAGACTAACTAGAATCCGAGTTATAGTTTTATTTCCTTTCTAAACTTACAAAACACATATTTTATAAGAACCAAAAGGAGTGGAATTATGGCATGGGCACAACCGCGCATGTTTCATAGGATGGGTCTAGAGCCCTTGAACCTCCTCTAGGTGCAACTCATGTTAGGTTGGCCTGTAGTGGTGGCAAATCCAAATGCAGCCCCTATTAGGCTCTTACCCACCCACTTACAACTAAATTCATCCATTCCATTGGGTCGGCTGAAATGGAGTGGGTTCGGTTGGGTCAAGGATACCCATTAGGTGGTTAAGGTTTTTTTTTTTTTTTAACTTTCTCAGTTTCTCTGCACTTGTAGTACTTTTACAACCATGTATTCTTGATCTCCTCGAAATAAAAGTTCTAATAGATTACAAAAAATGCATAAAGAAATTGAATTAATAATTTTTATGCTGAAAAGTAAAAATGAAATTTTTATAATAAGTTCAGGTATTAATTTGAATATAATACGTGGTTTAGTTGAATAATTTCCAGAAAAAAGATGAAATATTAATTGATTATTAAAACATAGAATAAATAGTAAATTCTTTTGAGAACAATGAATGCAGCATTGATTTATGAAATCCATTGATTCAACCTAAAAATTATGAGATGAGAACTAAATAAAAGAAGGCTTAAGAAATATAATTCATGAAACATCTTGTTCCACCGAGAAACTTCAATTTGTGATTGTTTGTATCGTGTGAATCAATGTTTTCGAACCCCGTTGACTCAGACAGTTGGACCGTTCCACTATAGACAAGCATACGAGTATGGGAATGCATCATCACACGAGTAGGGGAGATGCTGCTGATACACAGCTGCAATATGTTGTGGGGAGCACTCCAATCTGTACTCATCTTTTGCACGGTGTTAGGCTTGGAATTTTCCCATCCTATGGGCTTAGTGAGGCCTTAGGGTTTGCCCAAGTCTGAGTTGGACTGATTTCACGTACCATCTATCTATAAGGAAAACCTATGATGATGAAAAGGCATGGTACCAAAAAGGTTTTGACAAATCAAAACTCCCTTGAATTATAATTAAAATCGAGTTGATTGGTTATAAGTCTTTTCATATCATGTCTTATGTCTTTGTGGCATCATTGTAGAACCCA